TATTTATCATGTCTATTTTATAATTTGACGTATCGCACAGAAATGATACTTGTCAATAATGTCATACCACTGATATAAAAAATATTTCCGTTTGTTCTATAATATTCAGTAAAAAAATGATGTCAGTGAAATAAAAATTTAGACATACATAAATAAATAGCACGACAATTACCTACATACATATATCTCGAATAATTCATATGTTCGTCCATCTTATGCCACTCTAAACACTTTTTGATTCGTGAAATATTTGTTTTGTAAACTATAAATTGCAATTTTAGAAATTGACATGAATTGTCTAGAAATAGTTGAAATGATTCTATATATTTATTTAAAAATTGAAAAGAGAATAGCATCAATGAAATTAAAGTGACTTTTTCTTGTCTATGCGGATTGCAATTATTAAAATCATATTGTTTACATAACGAACGAGCTGAACATTCGGTGAATTATTTTCGTCAGATCGTCGAATTGCGTTTCAATAAAGGTTAACTTTTTAAATGAATTCTAATGTTTGTTGTTCTTATACCGCATATCAGTGCATCTTGTTATGGTGACAGTAATTCCTTCATTCTTAAGGCTATTACATTTTATGAAGCACCTAATTCTGTGATTGTTGTTTCACCTTATAACCACAGAATTATGTGGTAAACACTAGTGTTTAATTGAAGTGCATGTAAAGAGGCGTCACTAACATACATGGTATTATTTAGGATAAGATCTAATATATTAATATGTTGATTTCAATCATTTAAGTAAACAAAGTAAACAATTTCATTTTGTAGTAAGAATGTCTGGAGAACAGTTTTCATTAGTTTGGAATAGCTTTCCAAGAAACTTATCCTCTGGATTGTATACATTATTAACGGATGAACAGCTAGTTGATGTAACATTGGCTGCAGAAGGTCAAATATTACGTGCGCATAAGTTAATACTATCAGTTTGTAGTACATATTTCAGAGAGCTTTTTAAGGTATATTGTAATTTATTTTATTTTGGTATTACCTGTAGCAAAACAATAAAATTTTTTTAACGCTCTAGGGAAATTCCTGCAAGCATCCAATTGTGATTTTAAAAGATGTCAATTATCGTGATTTGTCTGCAATGCTTCACTTCATGTACCAAGGTGAAGTAAACATTAAACAAGAAGACATAGCAAGTTTTTTGAAAGTAGCAGAAACTTTGCAGATAAAAGGTTTAACCACAGAATCTGACGAGGTATGTTTGCAAGGATCTGATAGATAATTGTACAAAATACAAAATTATTTCTTACACTTTTTAGAAGTTCGAAGACAGTCTTTCGAAAAGTGCAGACCAATTGGATCACTTATTTAATATGGAAAAGAAGAGCATTAATTCTGATGCATCGGATTCAAATGCATCTACTTTTGACAAACCAAAAGAAACAGTACAAAAGGATAAAACTTGTGAGAAACAAAATACTTCATCGAAAGATGAATTACACAATAAGGAGTTCATAGAGAACAATATTACAACCAATGATACATTTTGTCAGCAAGATTGTGCTTCTGACTTAGTTTATAATCAGCAAGACATGCATATGCCTCCAAATAATAGTTGCAGTAGTATAGAGATACAAAGAAATGAAGAGGAACCATTAGACTGTACAGCTGACACTAGTTACACAGAACCATCTAAACAAGAACCATTAGATTATACACTCGATATTGATCCAGAAACAGTATATAGGACATATTCTAATGAACCATTTTTCAAACCTGAAGACAATTTGCATAGGAAAGGTATCAGTTCTGTGCACTGTATTTATATAAGTATTAAGAGACTTCATATAATCAATACGTTTATGATTGTATTAATTGCTGGAGAAAGGTACTGAATGAATATATGCTTTATTACTTAGCATCTCAAATCTACATTTTACTGTTTTACATAATTATATTATCTTTGATGGTAGATAGTGTTAGAATCAAATGCAATAGAAATAAATATTTTTGTTTTACAGATTTTGTACCAGATATGCAGTTAGTTCCGTACGATCAGAATTCACAAACTCAATCATTTGGTATGCTTTTTGGAATCACAATTTCTGACATTCATTAACCTAATTTTTTTATGTATGTTTTAACTAATTTAAATAACATAACATGAATAAATACAAAAGTTTCTCAATGAAT